CAAAAATGCATACTAACTGTTTTGGAGTCCGAAAATTTAAAACCATTATCATTTGCCCAATTTTGAATTTTGTTTAAACATAACTGTAATTTTCTTTCTAAGGTGTTCATGTTTTTTCCATAAGTAAAAATGACAAAGTCATCAACATACAAAGAGCACTCTATGCCAGGGGACAGAGCATTTATGATGCTATTTATTTTAATGTTGAACAGGGTGACTGACAGAATGCTGCCCTGGGGTACACCCATTTCCTGGTCATGAGTGTCAGAAGCGGAGTTGCCCACTCGAACCTGAAATTTTCGGTCTTTCAGGAATTCCCCCACAAAACAGGGAAGGTGTACCTTAAGCCCCATAAGCTCCAGGTCACGTAGAATGCCATGTTTCCAGTTTGTGTCATACGCCTTTTCTATATCGAAGAATACAGCTACTAGATGTTCTCTTCTGAGTAATGCATTTCTAATATAAGCTTCCAGCCTTAACAGGTGGTCAGTTGTTGTCTGCCCCTGCCGGAATCCGCACTGGTAGTAGGAGATCACTTAATTCCTCTCCAGGTACCAGACCAGCCTACTGTCAATAATTCTTTCCATGGTTTTGCAGATGCAGCTTGTTAGTGCTATTGGTCGATAGTTAGCTGGGTCAGAGCCGTCTCTTCCCGGTTTAGGTATCGGTATAACTGTGGCTTTCCTCCAGCTGTTTGGGAAAGCGCCTGTTTGCCACACACAGTTATAGACCCCTAGCAGGACTGCTAATGAGGGTTCGGGAAGGTGCTTGAGGAACTGGTAATGGATTTTATCTTCTCCAGGCGCTGTGTCATGTGACTTGTCCAGCGATTCCCTCAGTTCCTCAAGCGAGAACGGTTTGTTGTAGTCTTCATTGTTCTCTGACCTGAAATCAATGGGGTGTCTTTCCTCCCTGGTTTTGACTTTTTGGAACTCTGGCGTGTAGTGTGCAGCACATGACTTTTCTACTATTGAGGATGCAAGGCAGTCAGCTATTTCTCCTTGGTTTTTCAAATGCCCTATTGCATTTGATTCTTTCCTATTGATTCGCCTTACTGCCTTCCAAACCGCTCTAGCAGAAGTTTTGGCATCCAGACTGCCGACAAAACTTCTCCAGGAATTCCTTTTGGCTGACCGTATGGTTTGTCTAGCCTTTGCTCTAGTTATCCTGAATAGCTTTAGGTTTTCCTGGGAAGGATTCTTTATAAATGCAGCCAGTCGTTTTTTTCCTATCGCCAATAGCACTTTTGCAAGCTGTATCAAACCATGGTTTGCTAGGCCGTTTTGGATTTGCGGAGGTTAGGGGATAACTTTCCTGGCTATACTAAGTAGCTTGCTAGCAAAGGTATCAGCTGGGTTCTGTTCATCGAGGATATTTTCTGTGATATCCTCGGAGCATCTTTTTTGGAATTGTTTCCACCGCTGAGGTCGTCCCAATGAGGGGAGATTGTTAGTAATGATGATTGGGAAGTGATCACTTCCCCGTAGATCATTGCTAACTGACCATTTAAAGTCGTCCAAACGTCCAGGGACGCATATTGTGAGGTCAATGCATGTGAGAGATCCAGTTCCTGGGTGCAAGTAGGTCGGTGATGCATCATTAAGTATGCATAAATCATGTTGGAGGAAGATATCCTCCAGCCTACAACCTCTTGTGTCGGTATTGTTGGATCCCCACATGGCGTTATGGGCATTGAAATCCCCAAGGATTATATAAGGCCGGGGGAGTTGTTTCAATAGGTCCTCCTTGTCTGTTGGGTTTAATGGAGCGCCTGGTGGTAGATACAGGCTGCAGCAAGTGATAACCTTATGAAGGGTTATCCTAGCTGCTACAGCCTGTAGTGTGGTCTGTAGTTCTACCCTCTCATGGGGGCTGCTGTCCTTCACAAGGATACAGACTCCACCTGATGCTCTTTCTGCATCCTCAACATTCTTGCTGTAAGCACTGTAGCTTCGGAAGCTGATGCTATCTTTCAGAAATGTTTCCTGTAAGCAGACAGCTACAGGAGTCTCAGAGTCCATCAGTAGTTGCATTTCCTCATAATTGGCCTTGAGGCCTCTACAATTCCACTGTACACTTCTGGAATCCATGGCTTATTCTAAATGACCTACTTGGATCTATATGGCCTTGGGAGGCCCCCGGAGGGGTTTCCCTTTATTCCAGTGACCTTGGTATTTTTATTCTTGGGTTTGGATGGAGAGGAGGACAACCCCCATTTGGGGGGAAGTCTTTCTCTCTGGAGAGGGGAGATACCTCTGGTTAGAGCCAAGGTTATTTCCTCCTCTCTCACCTCGGGCATCCTCTCCGCTTTGATTTCTCCCCTTAGGGAGTTGGTCGACCTCTAATTCGGTAGAGGTTGGGGTGTCTGGCTGGGTTCTCTGAGGAGAACCTGTGTCAGACATGATGTCTCCGGGTTCTCCCGGAGTGTTGGTTTTGACATGCTGCTCAGTCTCCATCAGCGAGCACAGAGAACCTGTTCTTTAGCATGACAACAGGGCTTTCTTGTTTCTTCGGAAGTGTGTTCTTTGGCTGTGTTTTCTTCTGAGTTGGAGGAGGAGGAGGGGTGGTGGGGTCAATGTGTCCGTCTGTGTGGCTATGGATCTTCCTATTTTAGCAACAAGCCAAATTGGCCCTTGGGTAGGGCCAATACAGCCGATTTCGCCTGGCTGAAGGTACATCCATTTCTTGCCTTGTACTCCTGCACGGCAACCTCCTGTTTCCACACAGGGCAGTCCAACAAGGGGACGGGCCATTCGGAAGTCCAGAATGAGCCTGCCAGGGCTACACAGGTGCTATACTCAGTCAGCTGCTGTATCAGACACATGTCCGATGCACATGCCCGATACAGCAGCTCCCTGATTGACCCTCGAGCCACCGCTCTCCGCCCTTCGACCTATGCTGGTAGCTTGGCATGACCAGCCGGTTGACCCAGAGCGGGCCATCTGGGCTTTAGGTCTAGGGGAACTTGGAGCCAAAGTATTGTGTTGTGGTGGTTTATCCTCAGATAGCCACCACTCAAACACCAGGATCTCTTTATCCCCCCTTACCCGTCACAGTCCACGGCAAACGGACTGGTCTAGGACGTAGTGAGATTTTAGAGATAAGGAGACAGAGTGATGATCAATGAAGGCAGAGTGAGGAAAAGAGGAGGCAGACGCAATGATAGAAAAGAAGTAGGGCACTTTTGAGCTCCAAAAGTGCTAAGGTAAGAGGAGCGCAGTTTAACGTCATGTCTCGGGACGGGAACTAGGAACACTATGGCAGATAGAATAAATGACATAACAGTCAGACTACGTGAACAATTAAAGATTTTGAATTAATTTCATTGGCTCTCCATGAGTCAACGGGTGTAACATAGTTGGTTATATTCATAAGGGCCTGTGGAATTTTGAGATACACGGAGAGCTACTTGAGCACTGTTTTATGCATAACACCACAACAAGCGAGGATTACAGTCCCAACATGTCGTAAGACAGGTTTCAGTCGTTCTCAATTTTACTAGTGCCCGTAGTTTAAATCATCGCCAATTTTCAATGTTTCTGGATGACATTGGACACGAATTTGATTGTGTTCCCTACTACACAGAGGTCCGCTTGCTCTCATGTCATAAAGTATTGAAAAGATTTTTTGCATTGTGTGAGGAAATTGTATTGTTTCTGAACGGTGAAAGTTGAACCTGTTGAGAATTTCCAAACTGACGTATGGGTTCAGGATTTGGCATTTCAAGTTGGTCTCACTGGTCACCTGCTAGACTTGAATTTGAAACTTAAAAGTAAATACAAAATTGTCACAACTGCATGTGATTATGTGAAGTGCTTACAAGCAAAGTTACGACTGTGGATAAACCAAATATGAAGAGGAAATCTTGTTCACTTCTGAACGTGTTAGGAACTAAAAAGATTAAATATGGCTGCAACATTTTGGGTAAATACGTCATACACCTGGAATCGTTAGTAGATGCTTTCAATGACCGTTTTCGTGACTTCGTTCCGTACGAGCAAGAAGTTTCGTTGTTTATATCTCCATTCTCATTTGATTCTGAAATTGCTGCTGGTAATGTGCAACTAGAGCTGATAGAATAGCCGTCAGATTCTTTGTTAAAATCAAAGTATATAGAATTGGCTGTGCCAAAATTTTACAGTTATTTACCCTGAATGTTACGTTGAATTGCGGAAATTGGCAGCCAGAAAACTAGTTGTTTGAAGTATTTATCTCTATGAGCATTTCTTTTCCATACTGAAAGCTACAAAAGCACCTCACCGTTCGAGATTATCTCATCAAAATTTGTCAACTGTGATGAAAGTGTCAGTTGAAAACAAACTTCAACATGGCATTAATAAAATTGTATCCCATAAAAGATGTTAAGCATCAGAACAAAGAAAATAATGCGTAATCATAGTAATTTTTAATTACCAAATAGTACTAAAAACTTAGCTAACTAAGGGAAAGGTATGCCATTAAATATTTTATTCTATTGCATTGTTTCTAATTTACATAAAACTGGTAGGCTGTTTTGCAACTGATTTTTGGCTGCGGCCCTTCAGGTCATAGCAAGTTTTTATGCCTTGTATCAGGAGTCACTTTTTCATGCCCTGGTCGGTGCAGTCCTTAGAGGCTTTGTTTAGCTATATTTATTTCACTATTTTCTCTCATTAAAAATTTGGTATATAGTGCTGCCTAGAATCTAGATGTATAGTTATAGTCTTTATATTATATATCTGTGATAATAATGACTTAAGTTTATTAATCCTATATGGAAATTTGTTGTGATAACTAACAACTCTTTTCTCAAATAAAACTCAGTTGCAACTTTTTAACTTTTGATCTGGAGGTGTGTCTATTCCGGCTTAGCCAGCAAGATGCTCTCATCTTACTTGTTTCATATTAGGTCAAAACGCCACTAAAAAAATCATAACTTTCTAACTGTTAAAGTTAAACATACAGTCATAATTTAAAAACCATAATGATAACCATAGGAAAAATTGTTTTTTCAAAGTAAATCAAAGATAATTTTTTATTCCACCTCCCTATTATTAGGCCCAATTAGGGAATTAGGGTTAGGCCTAGGCGCCACTAGGCTAATCAAAATTATTTCTAAATCTTTAATTTAATGATTAATCTGAGCCTACTCTAGACTAGAAATATAATTTATATTTTATACTTTTATAGATCTATCATGGCATCTACTAGAATGCTAGATTCTAGATCTAGATCTAGTACTTAAGTTAAAGTTTAGTCTAAAGTCTAAAATGACTAAAGACTAAAGTCTTAACTCTAATTTTAAAGTAATCTAAAAACTAAAGTGACTTAGTCTGTATAGGCCTAGGGTGACTAGTCTAGCGTCTAGACTAAAGTCTAAAGTAACACTGACAAATTTAATAATACACTAGACTAACCTAATAGTATAGGTACTATAGGCTAATATAATAATGACTAATAGTAATAAACTATAATATAGTAGACTAAAAATATTAATTATAGATCTAGATCTAGATTAAAAATTTTATTTAATTACAATTAATAATAATATTAATAATACTACTAGAGTAACTTACATCTATCGAACACCTTCGTTTTAAGGTACTTATCGAACAACCCATTGTATTTTTTAAAATTCTCCTTTATTTCGATGATTATGACGAAACTAGTCCATTCCTATTGTGCATCGTCCATTTCTTTATAGTTAAGTTATATTTAGTTTCATTTTCACCCGAGGATAATTTTTTTACTTATATTCAAAGTGCATTAGTAATATTGGTATAAAAATTTCACTTTTTTTGACCTCTTGGGAAGAGTGAAGTGAGTCTCGGGTTAAGGGTATTTTTTAATGCCAATGATGCTTCAGCTCAACAAAACCTATATAATACGCTTCTAATTAGGCTGAGAAATATTTGCAACTATTTTCTTAAAAGTGTCCTTTGTTACCTAAACATGAAAATTGAGGTTTAAAAAGGGGGTGTTCGATAATAGCTGATTTTATATAAGCAATCTCAGCTTCGTAAGACATCGAACACCATTTTAATGTTAAAAATAAACATCAAAGGGATATAGCCCAAAGAAGACAAAATATTTAAATTATATATTTTTAATTGTAATTTTTTTAAATAATGTAATGCAAAGTACACATATAAATTACCAATGTGTTACAATTTGTATCAGCTATTTGTGGTTTACCGTAAATGTGCTATATTTTTCTAAGTAAATAGATTTACATCGATATGCACTAATTGTACTTATTTTAAAAGCTTGATTTTATGACAAATATAGTTTGATGCTATTATCTTGTATGTGATATCAGTAGCACAACGGATTTAGAACATATCCAGTTGTGTTTTTTTTTTCAGATGCCCCATTCTATTCACTTCTGAATTATGTGTTATAAACAAATACCTAGCGCATGTGCTTGATGTGAAGAGATATTAATAAAACGAAAGGGCTAAGGGGGAGGTACAGAATGTAGATATGGTATTTTGAAATAAAAATGTCTTTGGTAGGTAAAAAAAAAGGGGGGGGGGGGGGGAGGGGGAGAAACAGTCAAGACACTGTATCAAGAGATCATTAATAATTGATGTACCATTAAAATGTGACGTCAGTCTCAAATACATAGTCAGTTGTGCTTCTCGATCTAGACGTGTGGCGCAGGGTCTAGAAAATTATATATATATATATTACCATAAAGTATGATAAAGCTCATAATGCGCTACAAAGACACTCCTTTGAAACATCACAAATACTCAAATAATAACAATAACACATTTAACCACTCTCTTATTCTGCCTACACCCCCTTACCCGCGCTTTCTTATTACACTCTCCAACATTCACACTTTTTCAGTGCAAAGTGACAACGTAAATTTCAAGACTCAATCCAAACGCAGCCACCAGACTAACACACAACAAAAAAAAAAAAAGGTCAGTGACAGCCCAACACACAGGTGTAAACCAGGCCACCAACACAGCCCCAAAACATTGTTCAAGTTGTAGTAAGAACAATGTTGGGGGAAAGGGGGAGGAGCCATCATTTGAGTACCTACGGTCAAGCCGCTAATTAGGTCACAAACACTAGGCGTGATAGATATATAGATATGTTGTTTGTGTGTGTGTGACAAATACTAAGCGTGCTCTAAAATACGGTGTTGTTGTTTTTTTGGTCAACCAGGTGGTTTAGGGAGGGCGGATCTATCTACATCTATAGGTAACACAGCTCGCAAGCTAACATAGCTTTTCAGCCCCCCCCCCCCTCCCCGCCCAGATCGAAAAATATCTAGCACTGACTTTTGGGCTGTTACATACACTGAGCGTGCTAGATCGGCGGCTAGTTACGTAGGGCCGCGTACCGTATGTTTTGTTTTTAGGTCAACCAAGTAAATTGTTGTGTCCTGCAATGACTTGGGGAGGGCGGGATTATCTATTGGCTACCAAAGCTTATTAGGCTCTCCCTCAAATAAATAATATCTGGATTTAATTTATTAATGGCCTTCCTTATGTCTCAAAATAGCTTAGACCTAAATAAGTACTACGGTAATGCGTTACTGGGTTTAGCACCGTCAGTTTCTAAGCAGAGCTGATCAGTGATAGATTCATTCGATGTGGACCATGTGAAAATGACTAAAATCTGTCTGTCTTGACATGGCGTAAAAAGAAAATGATATAAATAAAAAAAAATATAGATTTTTTAAATAGAATTTTAAGATTATAACACTTTTAAAACACCATACTTCTTGTGTGTTCGATAAGTTCTTAATATGTTCGATAAGATAAGATAAAGGTAAAACAGTGTTCGATAATTTAAGCTTTTGAAATCATCGACCTGACCCACTTTAACATCAAATATAAGTTTAACTATGAGTAGTAATAAAATAAAGCATGTCTACTTTTTACGAAAAATGGATGAGGAGTTCACAGATACAATCAGTTTTTTTCTAGGTCTAATTTTTACGGAGATACACAAATTCAAACATAAAAATGTTGGCGACTGAGCTTAACTTGTTCGATAAATGTAAGTTACTCTAATTACAGTAATTCTGCAGGAGTTCAAGGGGCAGCCATCTTTGTTATTGATTAGACTGTAATCTTGTTTCTTGGGTTTTCTCTCCGATTTGGGTTTTTGTTTGTTTTTATTTTTGAAGCTAAAAAATATGCTAAATCTAGCTTTACCGGTATCATCTAGTCCTAATAAGTCTATTAATTAGACTCATAATCTAACTGCTAGAACTAGACTAATTACTATATTAATATGACAAGGTTCTTAAAGGCAATAAAGGTCAATTAATTTTTGGTAATGAACTGTGCTGATATTTATTGAAGGCCTAGTTAAATTTATATTCTCTATATCAGAATAATTCAGAATAGATATAGACAATATGAATATTTAACAATTAAAAAGAAGACAGAACAATAAGAACCATTATTATCATATTGATGATATTGTATTACAATGTATTGACACCAAGTCAAAATTAAAAGAAAAAATAGCATTGCTTTGAAACCACAGACGTAATGTTAATTCTTGGTATTTTTTAAGACACTATCTTGGGATTTCTTTGAAACATAAACAATAACAAAATAGTAACAAAGATGGCTGCCCCTTGAACTCCTGCAGAATTACCATAATTACTAATATAGTATAGTTATAGTAATACTAATACTGTAATAAGTAATACTACTAGATCTAGTAGCCAAGAGTCTAGAAATAACTTATCCAATAAACTAGATCTAAGTAAGTTACTTACATGGCCAAAGCTAAGTTGCGTTGATAGAATGAAGATCTAGAAATAAATTAAATAGATCTAGTTTAAATCGAGATTCTAGATCTAATTAGCTTACTTTTTTTTTTATCTTGAAGAAAACAACAATGGCGACATATTTGATATTAAGAGCAGGCCTGCAGACAATAAAACGAGAGAAAAAAAAGGCGATTGGTTACTTTATTACAAGTCTAGAATACTAGCCTCGCAGTATATCATTAAAAAACTAGTAGCGCAAAAACATTCATAATTTACTAGTTTAGATAATCTACTAGATCTAGATTTAGAAGTCTATTCTAGTTATAAAATTATAAATTGTAACAGAAATTAGACTCTATGTACATTTACATTAGCACAATACTTGTAGCGTGACAGTGCAACTAGCTAGGGCGTCTAGGGTTACCAGATGTCCGTCGAAAGGAGGTCATGTCCTCCTTTTTGGGGTCTTGTCCTCATTCGCCATGCATTGGCATAAAGTGTGAAAATGTCCGACTTTTACTCAGTTGTTTATTACAATTATACATTCATTTTATCTATCAAACTGGCTCAGAAAGGGCAGCAAAAAAAAAAAAAAAAGATTTAACAATTTCTAACCAAGACCATTACATAGAAAACTGCTTCTCAGATCTGTAACTTTTCATTTCCTATGATGATCTGATTTGCACTTCAGACTGTCGTCACTATTATCTGCCAGCCTTCATTTCCAGCCGTTCTGGTCTAGGACATAGTAATCTTTTATTTATGAAGGAACGTCAGAAACTTGTAACAAGCAAAATATAAAGAAATCCCCTTAAAAAAACTTATGTAAAGGGGAAGAACTCCTACTTATAATGCACAAGCTATTTCCCTAATTCGATATCAGACAAAATAATTTTTTAATTCATTTCCATAAAAAAAATCTTGCTATTGAGTCAGTGATAAGCTGCAAGAACAAAGGATTTTTCCACATTAAACATACTTTTATAGAACAGGGGCGTAACTAGGGATTTTGGGGCCCGAGGGGATTGACTTCTTTGGGGGCCCCTTGCATTTTGACATTCGATATATGACATGATATAATGTACGCAAAAAAATATAAGCCCAAAATCAAATTGGTTCATTATATCAGTAAACTTAACAAAAAATAATCATTAAGACTCTTTTAATGAATAATACCGTTGTTTATTAGTTAAATAATGCACAAGTGACAAATCTCAATTGATATCGTTTCACGTCGTGCATTCTGTGCAGCAAAGAAATCTATAACATCATCTACATTGATACTTTCTAGTATTTGTGACATTAAAGCCATGATAAGCCTTTCTTGCGTCATTGTGCTCCTGAGATAGTTTTTGATGAATTTAAGCTTTGAGCATGATATCTCACATGACGTAATGGAAGTGGCCTGAGTTAGCGGTATTCGGAGGAGGTTGCAAGGTTTGAGCACAGTAATTACCATATGAAGCCTGTTTCCTCAATATGTCTATTGGTGATTGTATTACTGGTTTGTTGATGAAAAGTGCTCGTGCATCAATGACATCATTGAAAAAGCGATTTTCCATTTATTTCCTTAAAGAAACAGGAAAATTAGCACAGTTTGTCATAAGCGTGTCTTCATCTAATAGGTGTCTTGGTTCAAGAAGAAACCCAAAGGTATCCATTTTCTTTCCAGCCTTTGGAAACTTCATCTCTATATGAAATCTGTCCAGCACTTCTGTTGCAACACGATTTAATTGCAGTTCTATTGACAGTCCTACATTAGAACTCAACTTCCCATTAAGTCTTTTCTTTCTTCTGGTTGTTTTGATTACAGGGAATCCATAGTCTTCACTACCTTCTTTTGCTTTTTCAATGGATTGGGTTTTTGCCAGTTTCTCATCATTTTGCAGAAAGCATGTCCAGACTTTTGCAGCTTCTTTTCCACTGCATGAAGAAGATTCTGTGCTAAGATTACGTCATTGTTGGTTGTTTATGTTTTGTGCGAAAGCAAAAGGATTCAAAGCATACAAAAGTGGGAAAGATCCATATCTCGTTATGCGCGAGTATCTATTTATAGAATTCTCTTCTTTCCTAAACAGGTCAAACAAGAAGTAAAGGAAAGATCACTCTCGTATTTCTGCAATGGTCACCCAACGAAAAAAAAAAACAAGAGGGAGGGGGGGGGGGA